TCATGAAACTTGGCATGGTGTCATGACATGGCACCACATGTTGCGGTAATTTTTTTGGCCGAATTGGGACAAATTTTGGTATAAGCTTCTTGCATACCGGAGTTTCTCTCAAGAAGGCTCGTGGTTCCGAGAGGGAACGTGTCACCTCCGTGTGCGAAACGATATAAGTACACTGGCTTCTCCCGCCTTAATTTGTTTACACAGGAAGATTATACCAAATAGAAGTATCGTGCTAAACTTTGGAATTATTCCGGGTTCGTTTGGCATTTTTTATACATTAATTGAATTTCTAGGAATTTAATGTGCATAATTCAAATTTAAACTATAAGCACATGCTCCAGTGCACCAAAGCTGGTTGAAAAATCACATGTGTGTCCTTGGGTGAATTTCTAGGTTTCATGCAAGAAAAGAGCATGAAATTCAAACATCTGGGCATCGTGGCTTGGCCGAAAAGATTCAGAAACTTCATTTTTTTTAATTTCTGTAAATCCAAAACATGCCTGAAAATCATGAAACTTGGCATGGTGTCATGACATGGCACCAACATGCTGCGGTAATTTTTCTGTCCAATTTGCGAAGGTGCACACACTAAAGTTCAACAAAGTCATTTTCGAACAAGTGTTGCCACGTTACAAATTAGAAACACAACTATTATTGAAACCGTGGGCATTCTACTTACCAATTATGTGCCGCCACGCATCCCTTTTTTATTGGCTAGGAGGTGTCGTGCGAGGTAGCTATTTGAGTACGGGAGGCGTGCGATCAGACCCCTGCGCATGCTCATCGGGGGGAGAGCCCTTTGACCTCTATCCTCCGCGCACCTCCCTCCAAATGTCTCCATGAATGGCGTCCGAGCCCCTGTTTCACGGTGTGACTATGTCTCACTTGACTGAGATTTAAGAGAGAAAAGTGAAAAACTGAAAAGAAAGTTTTGCACGGATCTTGATGTAAGATCTGACAGACCTATATAGCATCGACTGCGACTTATAGCAAGCATGATGAATATAAGGATGATGAAAGTGGATAATAATTGTGTTGCATATCTAGGAAGATAACTAAAAAAGCCACATGCGGCTACGCCTGAAATACACAAGGACAAAAGAAGAAGGAAGACGCATACAACGATCTGACTCGTTGATCTCTATTTTCTTGATGCGCTGCAGGTCGCGGAGACTAGTTCTCGCTGCGAGCGGCGATGATATCTTTCATCAGTTTCATGTCCTTAATATACTGCTCGGAAGCAACCGCGGATTCCTCCACTAGCCTTTCGCGCTCGATGCAGAGCATGTCATTCTCGTTCATAAGTTGCTTGACGATGACGCCCGTCCTCTTTAACAAGGCAGCGGTCTCCTCCTCCTGCTCCGCCCTTCCTGCGATCTTCGCCCTCAGCAGGTCGCACTCGGCCCGGAGTTGTTCAACAAGGCATTCAAGTCGCCCTGCAGCTTCATCCAGCCGGAGATTTGATCCATCTGGCTATGGACGATCGCATGTATGCGCCTGTAAGAGTCCTCGCCTGCTAGCGACTCTGCTGCGGCGCCACCAGACCGCCGTGACGCGGGAGGACATCTCTGCTGCATTCGCGGCGTGGCATGACATCTCTGTTGCTTCTGTGGCGCGACCAGACCAATCTGCTGCATCGACGGCGCGGCGGGACATCTGTGCTGCTTTGGCGGCGCGGCGAGACCTCTGTGCTGCTTCAGCGGAGCAGCGGGACATGTCGGCTGCTTTCGCGGCTAAGCGGGACATCTCTTGTGCTTCCGCTTTCATGCTCGCCTCTCCGTGGTGGTAATCTCTCGACCAAGAACTCAATCTGGCCATGGCAGACGCAAGAGAATGATGCTGAATGACTTGTTTGCTTTTGTGGATGAGGAGTTGAGGAAGGAATGTGCAGTCATCTTGGCATAGTACAGTATTTATAACCGAGTACTAATACGCTCCTAAGTGGAAACCGTTTAGGTTTTGATCGGCGTGAACAGGTTTGCAATTTGGAAGGTGACAAGACGCAGGCTCAATATTTATTGACGGTTCTATAATTTCTAAGTGCGGCACTATTCCCGGACGGCGTAACGTGGGCATGCTTTCTCAGCCACGTACATGGCGTTTGGTGCACCGTAATAGGCAATGTCAGTACACGTCTTGTTGCAAGAACCGTGCACGCTCGTTATTATCATCACGTATGCTTCTTTTAATTAGAATGTGTGCCCATCTAGCGCACACGTTGATCTGTCTAAATGTTTCTGTTTGTTGTGGCTAATCGCAAACAGTTCATCTGTGTGAAGTGTATGCCATCAATCGCACACACCTTTAATCTGGCTGACCGTTTTTGTTCTGTTGCCTAATCGCAAATAGTTAATCCTTCTGAAGCGTATGCTCTCAATCACACACACCTTTATCTAGCTATCCGTTTCTGTTGTTCCGCCTCATCACAAACACTTAATCCAAATGAACTGTATGTCGTATATCGTACACACCTTTATCTGGCTGCCCGTTTCCGTTCTTCTTCCTCATCGCAAACAGTTCATTGAACTGAACCGTATGGCGTGCATCGCACATACAACTAAAATCTGAATCATATTCAATGCATCCATCATCGCAAAAGTTTTACACATTTTTGACAGTTTTCTTACACCACCGTTTGCGATTATTACATCGCACATAGTTTCTCAAAGGGTCTCTGATCATACTGTTGTGTTAGCAGCATCCTGCAGTAGTGTGCCCTAACTAACCCTATCGTTATTGTATGTCACATATAGCTTGAATAATCCACCTATCACAGTCAGCACCAATTACATAGGGGGTAATAACGACTTTTTCTGAAATGTTGTGTGCGCGTGTGGTAGTAATGTACTCTCTCTGTTCACTATTATGTTTTAAGTTTTTTCACGTGTGGATTTAACTTTCTTGTATATCGAATGTATGGACATATATTTTATCGTGTTTGTTCATCAATTTTAATTTGTATGCACTACATATTAAAATATACAAAAAAATCTTATAATAGTGAACGAAGGGAGTACTACTGAAAGTGGTTGCCGATCGAGCATGTGGTGTTGCCTCAGATCAGAAACATCAAGCATATGCTCATGAGCTTCAACCAGTATATGGCAGCTTTTTCCAGAAAGGATGCTTTTATTAACTTAAAATGTAGCATCAAGCAGATACAAAGCATGATGAGTAACACCCGGCCTCTGCATAACAAAGATGCACATAGACAAACACCAGTATATGGCAGCTATGAGTAAATGTCCAAAATATCTGATATTCCAACTAGCTAACGTCTAACCTTAAATGCAACAATAAGTATATAGTCAAGTTCTGTCACAACAATAAGTAGAAGGATAATATTATTTGAGCAGTTAAGGAATTCTTCAGGACATGTATTATGCCGGACGGTGTCAACGAAACTTCTATCATTCTCATTCCGAAAATTGCGAGTCCTGTCAAGGTCTCTGATTTTCGGCCAATCATTCTTCGTAATGTTATCTACAAAGTTGTCTCTAAATGACTGGTTAATAGATTACGTCCCTTACTGGATGATATCATCTCGCCTGAGTAAAGTGCATTTATTTCCGGTAGGATAATTACGGACAATGCATTAATTGCATTTGAGTGCATTCATCATATTAAACAAGAGAAGGATCCTACAAAAGGTTATTGTGCTTACAAAGTGGATCTTTCAAAGGTATATGATCGGGTTGATTGGATTTTCTTGAGGCAAGTGATGCAAATGTTGGGATTCACTCATCGATGGATCGACTGGATTATGATGTAAGTCATATCGGTGAAGTATTTTGTCAAATTAAATGGTACCCACTTGGATTCATTTGCATTGTCGTGCGGGCTTCGGCAAGGTGATCCACTCACCCCGTTCTTGTTTCTATTCGTTGCTGATGGTCTATCTGCTATTATTGGAAATAGGGTAACTACTGATATTATCTCTCTGGTTAAGATTTGTTGAAGAGCCCGGGGTATTTCACATCTTATGTTTGCGGATGATACCTTGTTATTTTTCAAAGCTAACTGTGCACAAGCTGAAAGTCTAAAGTCTTGTCTAGATCTTTATGCTAGAGCTACAGGCCAGGTTCTTAATTATTACAAGTGCTCTATCATGTTTGGTGAATCGTGCCCAATGAATTATCAAGATGAGGTTAGAGATGCTTTGAATATTCAGAATGACGGTTTTGAGGAGAAATATTTGGGGCTCCCAACCCCAGATGGGCATATGTCCAAGGGCAGATTTCCAAATCTGCAAGCTTAGCTCCTGAAAAGGCTCATTCAATAGGGCGATGGCCATCTCGCCCAACCTGGTAGAGAAGTCCTTATTAAGTCAGGGGCACAAGCGCTTCCCACTTATATCATGGGAGTTTTCAAATTACTTTTTCCAGTTTGTGATGACTTGACAAATATGGTCAGGAGCTTTTATTGTGGAGTGAGTAAATGGATACGTAAGGTCCATTGGAAGGCTTGGCAGAAGCTTCAACAACCGACAAGTAATGTTGGTGTTGGTTTTAGGGACTTCCAGATTTTCAATCAAGCACTTCTAGCACGTTAGGCATGGAGGTTGTTAACTAGGCCTAAGAGTCTTTGTGCTCAACTCCTCAAAGCTTGGAATTATCCAGATGGGAAATTGGACGACAGCATTTTTTCAGGAAATGCATCACCTTTTTGGATGGTGGTTTATCATGGCCTAGGTCTTGTGAAAAAGGGTCTAGTCTGGAGGGTTGGTAATGGACAAAGTATAAGGATTTCGAGGGATAGTTGGATCCCAAGACCTTTCTCATATAAGCCTATCTCCTCACAGGGCCACTGCCGTCTGCGTTATGTATCGCAACTGTTGAATATATATGGCTCTTGGAATATCAACTTGCTAGCCGCCTCCTCCTCCCAACCCTAGCCGCCTCCTCCTCCCAACCATAGCTGCCCCTCCTCCTCACCCCCTCCCCTCCTCCCTCCCTTGCTGCCGCCGGAGGCAGCCACCGGGCAAGCCCGGGGCACCAAGGATGGTGGCGGTGAGACCTCGGTTGCCCTGCTCCTGTGCGAGGAACCTCAAATCTGGAGCGGCGGCTCCATTGGCAAGGCATGGCAGGCTAACAGCCGTGCGAGTGGTGGATCCGGTGTCCCGACCATGCGGGCGACGGGATCCGGTGGTCGTTGGCGGCCGGCGGCGGCTTCTGCGGCAGTCGGTGTGCGTGATTTGGCGCCTCCCTTCCTCCCCTGTTCGGCGTGCGGGCCAGCCTGGTCGGGCCGCGCTTCCTCTCGGTCGCCGGTTTTGTACAGGTGATGCTGCTGGTGGTGGATATCTAGTTCCGGTGAAATCCCTGGTCGTCCATGACCGGCCGCACCGACGGCGACGCCTGAGGGCATCGTTTCCCTTCTTGGAGGCGTCGGTATGGACTGATCTCCTCACTTCACCTTCCCCTAGGTCTCCCGGGCAAAAGCCCTAACTCTGTTGGGCGGCGGCGGCGCTCACGACGGCGTTCCCTTCTTGAAGGCGCCACTTTGGGAACCTTGGGGTTGGATGGCGCTTGTGGGTGGCGGGCGACGGCGGTGGTGCGGCCCTTTCCTAGCATGGATTCACGTCCGTTGCTTGGAAATGGACTCGTGTAGGTGAAGGTCGTCGGTTGGCGTCGTGGTGGCGTCAATGGTAGAGGACCGGCCAAGGCTCGCATAGGTGGAGGTCATCGTTTGGCGCCGTGGTGGCGTCGATGGCGGAGGACCTGCCAAGGTTGTCACCTCAATCTACTCTGGATATGGACTAGTGGAAGATGGCGGCGACGACACATGTGAGTGCGTCAGACCGGTTTGAGCCCCGTACCCGGCAGATGGCTCGGTCGGGGCATCCGGCTTTAGATGTTAGGCTTAGGTGAGAGGTATGGGTATGTGGCCCAGCTTGCACCCCTTCATCATTTGGATAGTAGTAGCGGCGGATGCTGCCAAGATGGCGGATTCAGACATATTATTATTATACTTTGTAAGGTCCTCGAGAATAATCAATAAAATGGCCGTATGCATCTCCCAGATGCAGAGGCCGGGGGTCATCCTTCTTTTTGAAAAAATATGTGATGTCTTAGAGATTTTAAAAGATCGTGCCTCTCCAAGACTCGGCGATGATTTGCTTGCATGGGGACAGGGGAAGATGGGTGTTTTCTCGGTGAAGTCAGCCTATGATATGGCCTTCGAAGGGATGTGCAGAACCAATTCAGTATCAACTAGTTCGGCACCTGATGGTCGGAGGGCGTGCTGGAAACTTACTTGGGGTAGCAATGTTCCATCTTCTGTTAAGAATTTTGCATGGCGATTGCTTGTTAATTCCCTTGCAACATGGTAAAATAAACACAAGCGGGGATTTGAAGAAAAGGATGTCTGTCCGATTTGCGAGTTGCGACATAGAAACGGAGTCATGTTTCCATGCTTTATGTAGATGCCCACTGGAAGTGGACCTTTGGAAATGTATGAGTGATGTTTGGCGTCTTCCAAAACTATAGGAGATCACCACCACGGGAGTTGAATGGCTATTGGATGTTCTTTTTCCCTTGAGTCAGATTGAAAGGGCCATGCTCCTCTTCACCTTATGGAGATGCTAGTTTAATCGGAATGAGGTAATTCATGGCAAAATCCCACCTCTGATGCAGGGCTCTAAAACTTTCCTTTGCAGCTATCTTGAATCTCTTCTCGTGATTGCCCAGAACTCGGTAGTAGATCCGACAAAAGGAAAGGCTGTTATTTCCCTTGATCACTTGAACAGAGCGCCATATGAATTACAAATGCAAAAAATGCATGTTAAATGGACTCCTCCACCGGCAGGCTGGGTGCCTGGGTGAAGCTCAACACCGATGGATCTTGGACTGAGAACGGTAATGCTGGAACCGGTATGGTGTTACACGACAATCTGGGCAATATTATTTTCTCGTCGTGTAGAGAGCTCTTCTCCTGCCATAATGCTCTTGAGGCAGAACTGGGTGCATGGAGGGTATTTCCCTTGCATTCCAGAGGTCAGAGCTGCCGATACTTGTGGAAATGGACTCAAAAGTCGCAGTGAACATGCTTAATGGCCAAGACATAGATAGATCAATCTTCGCTTCCCTGGTGACTGAGATCAAAGCATTTGATGTCCATTCGTACAACTAGAGTTTATTATGTCAATCGCAACCAGAATGTGGTTAGCGACTTTTTAGCTAATTTCGCCAAAACTGAAGGTAGAACAGTAGTTTGGTTGGGCTCTGGCCCCCCGGAGGCAGTGGACTTGTGTAAATAGATTGTATTCCTCTTGCTCATTGATTAATACAAGTCTAACCCGCAAAAAAGTAGCTAGTATATGTAGAACAAAACTTGTACCTCCGTTGGTAGGCGGTGTTGTTGTCCTGATGTAGACGTTGTCGGACTCTTGGTCGTCGTCGACCCCATTGAGGAACTTGAAGGGCATGAGAGCGGCCACCATTGCAACCACCTCCTCCAGCTTGCCGTGCCGCTCAACCCTCATCAGCACCAGGTACACGTCGGACGTCACCACGACATGTTCCCTCCGCCTCCACCAACTTCTTCTTTGTCGTGCACTCCGCCACCATCCTACACCCACCCATTCATGGCGGTACCACACGTGTTCATTTAGCTTAAGGACTTTCTTTTAGTTCACTGCCCTATACATAGAAAGAAGTGCCTTTTCACAGGTATCAACATTCTATCTAGAATCAGTAGTGATAATTGTTGTATTGTGAGCCAGCCCCGTAAGACACTACACACCTCCAAATTCAATATGATTTTTCCAATCATTTCACTTATACGACCTACAAATAAGGTAAGATCTTGGCTCGCCCTACAAAAATTTGTGCATGAGGGTTCATCGATCACTCACTTATGCTGGTAGTTGTGAGAAAATTAGGTCCAGCCGGGGTTGTGGCGGTTGCCCTTCCCGTGGCCGCCAGTGTATGGGCAACTGCTGCGATGGATAAAGGCAAGACTCTCTGCACCGAACACCGGCCGGCCCAACTGCACCCGCACGTGCCGGTGTAGATGGACCTCATCTCCTGGTTGATGGCCATTGGAGTTGGACATATGAGGAAGGCGAGGGAAAGGAAGGACGTGAGCAAGGTAGCAGAACGACAATGCCTGGCCGCTGTCATATCCATCAATTTGAGAATCAGCAAGCCAATGACATATGCTTTCTTATGGAAGCTGGCAGTGCTTACTCGAGCTCTGTGATTGTTGAAATATATTGCCCACCTTTCTCCATCAGTTCGGATTTTTGGAGCAACTGGCTGGAGCATGAATTCAATATGGTATCAGAGCCAAGAGGTCTTGAATTCAAGACCCTGCCAACGCTGTATTAAATAAAACGATTCTGCGGCCTACATCGATCCCACGTCTAAGAACTAAAATAGCTTAGACGTGAGGGGGAGTGTTGAAATATATTGCCCACCTTCCTCCAATAGTTCGGATTTTTGGAGCAACTAGCTGGAGCATGAATTCAATAGTGATAGGCATGTTTTTTTTTAACTGTCACCGGAAAGGAAAGGCTCCCCACCCGAATATATTTCAAGAAAATTGTTTTTTACATGAGAGCTTTAGGAGACATGAGAGGATAGGTAATCAGGCCACAATCCGGTATGATCCTAAGAGTTCCAAGCCTCAATCGATGAGATCAAAGTGTGAGGTGAGAAATAATATTAGAAATTACAACGCTTGGCGTAACATCAATATTCCTGAAGACTTTGGAGTTCCTAGCATGCCAAATCTTCCAATGGAACGGGAGGATGATGAAAGACCAAATTGTCGCGGCTGTCCATGTATCGAGGGTGCAGTCCAGATGGCGGCAATAGAGGATGAAATGGGTTGAAACCCAATAGAAGCCCAAATAGCTCCTGAAGCCGGGCATCCAAAAGGGGAGCAACTAATTAACGAGCGCTCTTTCGGGAGCCTTGCAATGCTCAGCGTCACTTGGCGCGCTCACAGCCATTCACCACGTGTCGCGCTCTGGACGCTCCCTCCGAATTTTATTATTTTTTTTATGCATGCGTTTTCGGCTTTTTAAAAGGTTTTTTTCCGGGGTTTTTTTGATGTTTTGGTTTTTTACCGGTCTTCCCTAGCTTTTCGACCAAAAAATAATTTCAAAAAAAAAAATTTGCACAAAAAAATGCATTTTTTCGCGAGAGTCATGATTTTGTTTTCACGAGAGGCACGGTTGTGCTTTCGCGAGAGGCACGGCCGTGCCTCTTGGAAACGGAAAAAAAACATGTTTTTTTGTTTTTTGCGAGAGGCACGGTTTTGCTTCCGCGAGAAGCACGGTTGTGCTTTCGCGAGAGGCACGGGCGTGCCTCTTTCGGAAAGGGAAAAAACGTGTTTTTTGTTTTTTTTTTCTTTCACGACAGGCACAGTTTTGCTTCCGCCAGAGGCACAGTTGTGCTTTCGCGAGAGGCACGGGCGTGCCTCTTTCGGAAAGGGAAAAACGTGTTTTCTGTTTTTTTTCTTTCGCGAGAGGCACGGTTTTCCTTCCATCAGAGGCACGGTTGTGCTTTCGCGAGAGGCACGGGCGTGCCTCTTTCGGAAAGGGAAAAAACGCGTTTTCTATTTTTTTCGCGAGAGGCACGGTTTTGCTTCCGCCAGAGGCACGGTTGTGCTTTCGTGAGAGGCACGGACGTGCCTCTTTCGAAAAGGAAAAAAAACGCGTTTTCTGTTTTTTTTTTCTTTCGTGAGAGGCACGGTTTTGTTTTCACGAGAGGCATGGTTGTGATTTCGTTGGAGGCACGGGCGTGCCTCTTTCGGAAAGGGAAAAAACCCCGTGTTCCCGGTTCGGTTTTTTCGTCGGTTTTTTGTCCGGTTTTTTGTGAAAAAAAAAGTTCATCAAAACCTATCAACATGGGATATAGTTTTGAAGATCTCGACGCGAGGAATCCAATGGCGAAAGCGGTTCGAGATTTGGACGCACGGTTTAAGAGATAAAATATTTTGAATAAACGGATCTACGAAAAAGGGAAAACTTCCAGGTTGCGACAAGTGGCGCACATGCAGCGCGCCACTTGTCGCAACCTGGGGAAGTTGGAGTGATCTCCGCAAGGAGTACTCCTTAATTAGTGATTTGATCCAAAAGACAGGTGGCTGCGTTCCCCCAGCCCCAGGGCGGAAAAACCTATTCGCCGCTAGCTGCGGCAAGATGTCGCTGTTTCACACAGGCAATCGAGGGATCGTTCGGATTTCGGCCGGCCCATTTAAGTGGTTTCAGCGTTCCGGTTTTGGGAACCTTCTCGAAGTTCCCAGCCGGTTTTTTACGGTTTTGGGAAACTTCTAGAAGGTTCCAAAACCGGATTTTTTTTCTATTCTACTTCTCTTTTCTTTTTTTTCCTTGTTTCTTCTTTTCCTTTTCTCCCCTTTATTCCTTTTTCTCTTTGTTTACTTTACATTTTTTTCTTTTTTTCTTTTTTCTCCTTTTCATTCTCTTTCTCAAATTTTC